CAATCAGAAGAGATCTTTCAGTTAAGGAAGATACAACCACTCTTTATGAAGAAAGTAAGAGGTTACAGCACGATCGCCACTGGCTTCTATTCTGAGCCACATCTGATAACGTCTCTAGCCACTGCGTTACACCGTCTCTCGAACTCCAACCAGAGAGTCGTGAAGGACCAACAGAGGCTAGCCCTTTGCAGCTTTCTTTCATACCACGACACCATGTCATATACTGACCACCTCTCCGCTTTTTCCAACCAGTCGCAGAATCGGCAAATAATGCACGACGTGGAATTCTCTGGGACGACATTCGTAGAACATGTCCAAGCCACCGAAGTCGGTGTTTCAAGATGGTGACACCAATTGCATTATCGTCTCTGTGACCGAACACTCGATGCCGAACCTCTGCATTACTAACATGGTGTTGCCACTGGATGTCAGCAATCCTTCGGAGACAACGATGATCAAACACAGAGAGCCGTCTAACATCCTCAACTCGGAGAGGCCAGGTTTCACAAGCACACAGAAAAACTGCTCTCACAGTCGCGTTGTAGATCCGACCTTTTACAGCCAGACTAACATCACGAAGGCGCCAAAGATGGCCCAGATTGGTATAAGCCGCTCTGGCTTTCACTATACGTGCATTGATCTCATCACTCACACCACCACCAGCACTTATGCAGCTACCTAGATACACGAACTTCTCGACTACTTCAATCTGCTCACGATCCAGAGTGAGTACAGGATTAGAATCCTGCCAGTCTTGTAGAAGGACTTTGCACTTCGAAGGTGCGAAGCACATACCATACCTACGGACATTGATTGCCAACTGATTAAGTGCGGATTGCATGGCATGGGCATTCTCGCACAGTAAGACAACATCATCCGCCTACTCAAGGTCGAGAAGTCTTTCTCCAGGCAACTGATCCACACCACCATTACTTACATCCATCAGAGCTGTTTCCAGAATGTCATCGATGGCAAAGTTGAAGAGGAATGGTGAGATTGGGCAACCCTGTCTAACCCCACTGCTTGAATGGAACAATGGAGAAAGGTGGTTGTATGCCCTCATTCTGTTTGAGGTGTTTGTATATAGGGCTTTTAGTGTCTGAGTAAGCTTCTCAGGCACACCCTTCTTCAATAGACAATCCCAGAGAACAGTTCTGTCCAACGAATCGAAGGCAGCCATGATATCAAGAAACATTACGATTGTTGGCCTTTGATAAGTATGTCGGTGTTCTAACACTTGGCGGAGGGTGAAGATATGATCAATACATCCTCGACCAGAACGAAACCCAGCCTGCTCCTCGCGAGTCAATCCTTCTCGGGTTCTGAACAACCTACGAAGTATAACGGAAGCCAATAGTTTGGACGCAATCGGAAGTAGACTTATCCCCCGATAGTTGTTACAGGAACGACGTGAACCCTTTTTAAAGATAGGGACAACTATCGACTCATTCCATGACGTTGGTACACTCTCTAGTTCCCAGACCTTTGCAACCAACGTCGTCAGTCCCTTAGTCAAAAAGTCACCACCATCTTTAAAAAGAGCCGGAGGTAAGTCGTCTGGGCCCGGTGATTTGTAACGTTTCAAGAGTTGGAGTTCCTTGCGGACTTCCGCCTCATTTGGTGGATCAGTCGTCACCGGCCATGGAGGGCAGGACAGTCTGACCGATGGTGCCGGAGCAGCAGGCCAGTTGAACTGCCCTTCAAAGAATTCTGCCCATCGTCCAAGACGTCGATGGATGTTAGTGATTGGCGTTCCGTCATCCTCGCAGATTGTTTCGCTCACACCAAACTTCTTGCTGCCAGTGGCTCGGATGTGTTGGAAGAGCTTCCGGTAATTACCAGATGCAGCTGCTGCTTCCAGCTCACTGGCACGCTCCGACCACCAGGCTTCTCGGTCCTTACGCAAGCTTTGCCCGATTTCATTACGTAACATCCTTCGTCTGTGGTCAAACTCACGGTCAACCGGAGTAGCCCGAAGGGCTTCAATGAGTTGTAAGGAACCAGAAGAAACCCAGTGCTTGTAAGCGGGACGTTTCGCAAACCCACAACAGACTGTACCCGCCATTTTCATGGCGTCATGCAATTGCAATGAATGCTCATCTATACTTTTCGGTGGAGTGGTAGCTAGCCTAGAAGCTAGCTCGGTTCGGTACTTACTAGCAACAGAAGTTGCAGCCAGCTTGCTAACATCAATCCTTTGGTGGCGGTCACTTCGTTGTCCACTGAAAAGTAAGGTAAGATTGGCGCAGACCAGAGCATGATCAGAGTCCAGATAGGTACTCCAAAAGGAGCGGCAGTCTTGTATACAACCACGCCAGCGGTAGCTGATCGCGATGTGATCAATCTGTATCCAGGCTTGAGATGTAGAAGGGGGACGCCAGGTGGCACATCGGCGATGACTGTGCCGAAAGTTAGTGCTAGCCAGAAACAGGTTGTGGTCTGTGCATAGTTGCAGTAGACGTTCCCCGTTATCTGCCCTGCGGCCAACGAGTCCCCATCGGCCACCTAAACGACTCTCTTCTGTGCCTAGACGCCCGACCTGAGCATTCAAGTCTCCAGCTAGTACTACAATATCTGTCGAACGCACTTTATGGAGAAGAACAGTTAGCTGATGGTAGAACTCGTCCTTGATTGCATCCGGGCTGCAATCTGTCGGGGCATAGGCGGAGATGACGAAAAGACATCGTTTCTCACGCCGATTTCTTCTCACTTTGATGGAACTTTCTAATCTAACAGCACATAACCGACTGTTAATGGGGATCCGATCGATTAGTGCTGCCTCAGCTCTAACGCTCAGTGCAACACTAACGCCAGCAAGACCAGAGGAAGACGCCACAGGGTCCCCGGATAAACGCACGTAAAACAAGCTTTTTGAAGTGACAGATGGAGAGCGAATTTGTAGTACTTCACCAGAGTCTTGAATACGGGTCTCTGATAGACAACAAACGTCAATATTAAGACTTTCCAAAGACATAGCCAGCCCTATCTGTTGTCCGACCAGCATAAGTGTGCGAACGTTGAAGGCAGCCAGTTTAAATGGTGCATGTGGTTTCAGAAAAACTGCTTCAGTACTCGTATTCGGTGGTAACATACAATTTTCAACCAGGCAGTGACACCAGAACGTTTAGATAAAGCTGAATTTTCACCATAGGCGAGCTGCTGTCTGAGTCGAAACGGATACAAAAAGTAGAAATAGGAGATAGTGAATAAATGACGTAGTAAATAATAATAATAATACCAGTCATTTCAATGTTAGTCGGAGAGAAACGAATATTTTCTATAAGCAGATGGTTTTATTAGGGGGCCACGCCCCGAGCCTTTGACCTAAAGGTCTAATCCACAAGGCAGTGAAGCATCGTGAGGAGATGCAGTTCCATGGTAGCCGGTGACCAACAATTGGTTCATACGCCACTTGTTCCTTCAGGATACTGGAGCCCATTGGTTTGGGGTCCGGTTAAAGCGCCGGACATTCGCTTTTCGTCCTCTCATTTTCGTAAACAACACCCCCGCCACGAGAAGGCAGTGAGTAGGACTTCCCTGGAAGAGGCTGTATACGCGTGGCCGTGTGAGAGCATTTCGAGAGGGAGGGCGAACCCTCCCTGCTCTCGGCCATAACAGGGCATTTGGGAGCATGAGACTCTTACACAACAATAATATTTATGAGCTCACTGGTGACTAATGGAAATCTCTACTGCCACTACAGGGAGGTTAGTTTTATTCTATCATTATCGTCTCTAAAGAACAGCTTGCGCTTGGAAATGATAATGGACTAGCATTAGTGACATTTAGGCAGTATTTGAGTATCGTAGAAACTGGTATTAATGATTATGTAGTGCGGAACAGGGAACAGTTAATTGTGAAGTTAACATCTACTGACATTATAACTCCTAGAGTAAAGTTACACCAGTCAACCACAACGCAGAACCTGGTAAATACGTGTATCAGTCAAATCACAATGCTCCACTAGCACAGAGAGATGAAATTACTAGCCAAAGTTCCAGAACAGTTGAGTTGGTAACAGTATGAGTGGTGATTGAAAAGATTAGGAATCGAAGATATGATTCAACTATATATATATATATATATATATATATATATATATATATATATATATATATATATATATATATATATATATATATATATATATATATATATATATATATATATATATATATATATCAAGGTCAGTAAGATAGAAGTTAATTAAAAACCATCTCGCCACCTAGTGATAATCAACTCACTAAACTAAACGTCTTCGCGTTTTACATAAACAATAAAATATGCTTCCATAAATAAGGAATCTCTAATGGTTATTTATATGAATAGTTTGTTTCTAAGCATAACTTATGTCGATTATTACTTCATGGAATTATCATTGCATTGTCTGACACATTTCTCGACTTCCCATTACACCAAGATTCTATGTGTGATCTTGCATTTATAGCCTTAAAATTTTCGTGATCTTAGCGACAAATAAAGTCAAATATGTAAGGATAGTATGATATTCTTAGATATATTATTTCAATCACTTGGATAATATTTTACTTGATTCCGTTTGGGTACCTGGATAGTATTAGTAACCTTTCCACAAACAGATGACTCAACCAGAGTGCGTAATCCGGTACTTAGTAAATTAGTTACAAGTTGTAACACTCGTCAAATGAGCTTCTAGGTTAGGTACGGTAATAAATGGTCGAGGAACATTACCCTTTAACATACGAGGGAAAACGGTGGAGTCAAAAGTGAGTGTCATTGAGTTACAACTGATTTTCTTACAAAGTAAACAATAAAAGAACCAACTGCCTGATTTTAATACGATTTTTAGCAAGAGTTGACATCGATGGTTTATCGTATAAGATAACTAACTTGTAAATATTAGTTTGCAGATAAAAATCACACTACAACTAATTGGCTTAGAGCAACACTTGAAGATACTTCATGTATGTTAAAACTATAGTATATATAACACTTCACGTACACTGAATAGGAAAACTTACACATAAACAATGACAGTGGTCTTAAGTTTTGTAAGTCCCTACGATAAATCCAAGCTTTTGAAATCCTTGAATTAAAGTTGTGGGACCATATTTCTTCGGACTGTAAACCTTTCGTTCTTGCAGTTATTGTATGTTTGTCTAGTCCAATATCCCAATCCGGTTCTTCCATATCAATAAATGACTCATCTACAAACTTTTTGTGAGTATGCTAAAGATAAAAAAGGCAAGTATTACGAGACAGTCTTCATATAGTGAGATCTATCCAATCCTGTTTTAAATTACCGATTATTGTTGTTAGACAACAGCTATGGGGTAATAATGAAATTTTTTAAGTATACATTAAATGTTATCCCAAGTATGATAATTATTTATTTATTTATTTAACACATAAGTATTGGTACAAGGAGGCACCAAGTACATATGGGCCACACGAATCTCAATTGATTTGTGTGAGGGCTGTGATACTGCTCGGGTGCCCAAACCGAAGCAGGTGGTTTTCTTAGGGGGCCACACCCCGAGCCTTTGACCTGAACGTCTGATCCACAAGGCAGTGGAGCATCGTGAGGAGATGCAGTCCCATGGTAGCCGGTGACCAACGATTGGTTCATACGCCATTTGTTCCTTCAGAATACTGGAGCCCATTGGTTTGGGGTCCGGTTAAAGCGCCGGACATTCGCTTCTCGTCCTCTCATTTTCGTAAACAACACCCCCGCCACGTGAAGGCAGTGAGTAGGACTTCCCTGGAAGGGGCTATGTACGCGTGGCCATGTGAGAGCATTTCGAGAGGGAGAGCGGACTCTCCCCACTCTCGGCCGTACCAGGGCATTTGGGGGCAAGTATGATAATAAGTTAATCTTTCTTGTGACATTTTAATATGAGTGAGAATAAAAAAGTAAAAGAATTGTAACATGATATTCTAGTAGCACTCTCATCGTTCAGCTAAATTAAGAGTTTATACTTGGCCAGACGTCGATTTATTACTAGAGTTCAGTATCTAAGTTTATTAACCAGAATATATTGTAATAAGTCCAGTTACATGAAATGACATTATCCAAATAAAATTTAATAAGTTTTAGGTTAATAAAAGGACCCATATCGCCGATTATTTGTTTACGCTGTGAATGGTTGTTAAGAGCAGAGAGGGTTAGGGTATGACACGGAGCCAGGGACGAAAAAAACGATGTATAGGACTGGCATCTGTCGGTCTATCACGAATCCCTGGTTGAGGTCCTGGAGATAGTAAGACTCAGTAGCCAGACTTTGTCAGACATGGGTCTAAATAGGAACCAATGGCGGTCGTGTTGTAGTTTTTTTTACATTATTCATAGGAGTGAGCGGAAGTCTTTCAAGTGGAAGAAGTCTTATTAGTTGTACTTTTTGTCTGAATTGTTTTTCCTATCATAAACTATGCTCGCTCACTTATTTAATTCATTTATTTATCTCCATTTCATTCACCTTCCGTCTATCATTTCACAGTTTTGTTTTCGTATTTGTACGGTGCATGTTTATTCTGATGGACATTTATACTAGTACTTGCTTGTTTTAAATAAAAATAAATTGGTCCAACTGATTCAGTCAGAATTACACTGGTTTCGAAACATAAAGGTTATTAGAATTACGAAGGACTTTGGCATTCTATCAAAGAATTTGCTTGCCACAATAATACCAGTTTTAGATGCACATTAAATACTCGTATAACTATTATTAACACGAAAATCTGGTTTCATATAAAAGCTGCATAAAACAGTCCCATACATATACCAAAATATTCCATAATGTCAGTGTTTGACAGAGTATATAAACAACTTACTGGAGTACCCAAAGGTACGTTACAAATAGGTGAAGTCTTCTGCACAGCAGTAGGTAGGGTAGGAATCCCACCAGTTAACAGGCAAAGCTCGTATTGATGAACGCTCAAATTCCACTTTTCAACCCCCGATGGAGCACTTACAGCGCGGACTACGTTATTTACTCTGTATACTATAATGGTCGGATCGTTTGTATTTGGAGGTTCTTCAACCAACTTTTTATTAACATCAGAACTAGTACACCCATCACGGGTACAATTATATTTGATCTGTAAAACAAGCGAAAATGGGCCATTTACTGGAATTAATTGGACGAAAAATGAAGACGAATTATGAATACAAGCCATAGCACAAAAAAATCATAAAGGGAAGAGGAAATGAATGAGAACAAATTACCTCTGAATATTTAACAAACAACCGGGACTCTTTGCTTTTTGTTTACTAACACACTATGGATAGTTAAAAGACGAAAAAGCTATAAAAATCGAGACTGTGCTTAAAATAAGCTGATAAAGTTCGATTTGATACGTAATCTTTATATGGCAGATGTATTGCTTTTGTCTTAATACTACTAACCTTAGTTTCGCAAATATTATTGATGTCTCAGTTCAAAAATCGAAGAGAATATAACAACGATCTAGAATTGACAGTGGCCTATATTTAAAATGCAGGCTCTGATAAATCAAGACACTAAAAACTATAATACATTTTAATTTACCTCTTTGAAAATAGCATTAAGTGCTTGATTTGCTTCAAATTCGTGAGCCAGATTATTCATATTTAGGATTGTCAGAATAGAATAACTCCATTAATAGTAGTAAGTTTAGGTGGTAATCCACTTCGAAAATACTTGACACCTGAGTGCGTTACCAAGAGAGAACGTAAATTAAAAATTTGGCCCTATATCTTATATAAAATGCTATTAGTGTTTCCAACTTTTCCCTAGTAACAGAATATGGAGGAACCAGAAATGTTCTATTTATTGAAGATTTTAATTTTTAATCATTTTTCATACTAAAAATATGGCTTATAAGAACGAGAGCTGAGGAATGTCCCACAGAGACAGAACTAATAGTAATGTATCAATGAATTAAGGAATTCATACGATAAAATACGCATGAAAATTATTGAGGAATACACCTCGAATAAAAAGAGATAAGTACTATTAATCTCAAAAATACAAAACAATGGATAATTGTAGCAGGATTAATACAGCCATACATTGTGATTCATGTCTGATAGTTTTAAACCACTAAGTTACATGATCCCGGAACCCCATTCTAGGAGTCATTACATTCCAATAAACAAAAACTAAATTCTAACCAGATTTGCTGGATCTACTTACACCTTATGAACTAGTTTCCTACGTTTCAGATTATAAGTTAGGTAGACGGAATGATAATACAAAATATCTTACCTAAATGTGCCTGGGAAACATCATTCGTGAAAAAAGAAGGTCTGATACAGACGTAAGGGCAAGGATTGGCAAAGCAAAGGCAGCACTCATACATCTGAAGAACATATATAACTTAGGACAACTTCCAACCAACATCAAACTCAGAATCTTCAATACAAACGTCAATACAGTCCTACTGTACAGATTTGGAACTTCGAGAACTATTACAATCATCATCAAAACAGTACAAGTATTTATAAATAATTGTCTACGCAACGTACTCAACGTCCGTTGGCCGGATGCCATCAGCAACAACCTAATGTGGGAGGACAAACCAGCTTCCAGCTCAAGAGGAAATTCGGAAAAGACGTTAGAAGTGGATAAGTCATACATTACGGAAATCATCAAACTGCATCACGAGGCAAGCACTAACTTGGAATCCTGAAGGGAAACGGAAAAGAGGAAGGCCAAAGAACACAGTGTCGGGCATCGGAAGCAGACCTTAAGAGGATGAACAGTATCTGGAAACAACTGGAAAGAATCGCCCAGAACAGAGTTCGATAGAGAGTACTGGTGGACAGTCTATGCTCCTCCACGATTGGTACAGGCCTAAGTTATAATAAAGGGACGTACACACTGGAGTACCTTGGAATCAGTGTTTTCCAATTTTCATTAGTGGAGTGTTCTATATCTGTATAAGTAATCCAGAACCCAGATGTACTTTCACTCTCAATTTCATACGGATACTTTGCTATGTGCAAGCAGGTAGGATTTTCTGGAAGAGACGATAAGCAAGCAACTATATGAAAGGATTGTGAAAGCAAAGTTTTCTTAAAAGCACCCTTAAAGTCTGAGGACAAAAGTTCTACTATCGTCTGAACCGAGTCTCAGGTGAGAGAAAACTGAAAATTACTGACCTAATAAAATTAGAGTGCTAATCGAATTTTTGTCATTGAGTGGAACTAGCTCAGTTAGTGGGCGTTTTAGATGAGTTTCTTTCTTCGAGAATTAACACAAACAAAGTGGTCGAATATTCTCATTCATGGAGAATATTAGATTATTTCATTCGTATCCCAGGATTTGCAGGCGAAACGTCAAATCCACCAAAGTTGGGAGTAAATAGATTCACTCACATTGGCATCTTTATGATAAATTCGAGTAAAAAGGCAAGTGGTCATACGACAGGAAATTACTTGTTTCCATTTGAGTTTACATTATTTTACACTTACATGACTCAGAACATTTCAATTCATAGCTAATGTTTATTCGTCATTTTGCTTTTGCTATGGTTGATGTGAAAAATGCAATGCTGCTTAGGTGCGAAAACCGAAGTATGTGACATCGTCAAGGAATCACCATTAACCCTTAACTTAAAAGTTTTGGCCACAAATTAAAGTAATATTAAGTCTGTTCCGAAATCAGCCCGTCCATTAGTCCAAGGTCAGTTCAACTTTTAAATATAGTGCATCCACCTATAAAACATGTTTTAAAATATTCGAAACCACACACTAACATGTAAACACCTGTTCGATGGGTCCGAGCCCTACTTGTCATCAAGAGCGGCTGGTGTGAGTTATAAGTAGTACGGACAAACTAACTATCCGTCTCGGTCTAATAATGGGGTTCCCAAAGCTGATTCAGAATTCCATAAACACGTCCACAAAAACTTTAACGAACTTCTTAGGCATGAAATTTTAATTTTCGATAACTCTGAGTTAAAGACCTCAGTCAGCTAGAAGATATCCTTTCTAGATTATGTAAACTTTGTGAACTATTAAATCAAATAGTAATCAACGAGATTTGCCACCAAATGTAACGGACTAACTTTGCCGTTGTTAGGATTGAAAGCGAATGTTGAATGTTCTCGTCCTCCAGTTAATAGTGAGTCTTCTGTGAGCATAAAATTTGAAGAGAATAAAGAGTCGATGCTCAGTGGTAATGCTTTAAGTGATGCTCCACCTAGCAAATCTGAGCCATTAATTAGCTTTCTCTCCATCAAAAAAAGTTGGCCATCAAGAGAAGGAACAATACTATATGATTTCGTTTTTGTTATGAGCTAAAATATGTAATAGTTATTAAGCCGTCAGGATGATATCATACCTGGAGATCACTCAAACTCTGAGAAACAAGAGGAGGGCCATCTATCTTCCAAAACAACTTTCCACTTCTTATATCTAAACCGATGAACGAACCATCAACAGTATTTGCTATTAACACCCTACAATCAAAAAGCAATATTTTCTGAACATGAATTCGTACCCTTGTGAACCGTGCGAATATGTGCCTCTAACATGTATGTATACTGCAGATGTGAAAATACAAAGAGAAAGGTATACAGACAAAGAATTCAGAGACATAGTAATGACATCATTCGTCAGGATGATCCCAACACTTTTGAACGAAATCCAAGGTCGACCTAATCCATCAATCGACAATCCTCAATCTGTAAAAACGGTTAGCAGGTCAGTTGTATTAATTTTTGCTACATACTTTTTTGTGAAAATTCAGTTTCCGCTTGAAAGCATTCACTGCTGGTCCTGATAATATTTGCTCCATTAAGGCGTTCTACTCGATAACCATATGATGTCGATAGAAGGAATTTCAACCTGAGTTTCTTCGGAGATTAAATAATTCTAGTGGGAGCAAAAAAGTAGAAACAAAAAAATTTCGGATGTGGATAAATTCAACGTTATCAAGTCATGTAAATGTATCACAGTCCGTAATTACGGTCGTGTTTTCGTTTATTTAGTTCAAATGGTTCAAATGGTTGCGGACGGAATAGAAGAAGCTTTCGCTTAACAGGCTTCCGTGCCTAGTAGCAGGGGATCACCAATACCTCCAGGCAAGAACCTAGGTATATTAACGATAAAAGAGAAAGAAAATGAATTGGTAAATCATAGTAGGATACTATCCTTAGTCCTTAAGAATAGATCAAGTCGCCTCTTAAAGGACTCCTGGGAAGTTGCTTGGACTAGCTCAGCTGGCAGCGAATTCCAGCATTTGACAACTCTTAAGGAGTAGAAATTGTGTCTGCAGTTCGTTCTACTATGTTGTATCTCCAGTTTTTGGGTGTTACCCCTTAGGTTAGTGTTGGGACTAAGCTTAAGTAGGTGTTTAAGAGGATGTCCAGGTGTGTTAAGGATACTGCTAGCCATTAGAAGGTCACCTGTAAGACGCCTATACTCTAATGGGTAAAGGTCGAGTGATTGGAGGCGCTCATCGTAAGGTTTAAATTTGAGTCCCCAAACTGATTTCGTGGCTCGCCGTTGGATACGCTCCAGAGTGTCCTTATCCTTTTGGAGTGTAGGAGGGAATACTATGTTCCCGTACTCTAAATGGGGACGAATGTAACTATTGAAGATTATGTGGAAAGTTCTCCCGCTAAACTGACCAAAAATGCGCTTCAATGTTACCAGTGCAAGGTTTGCTCTAAAGGCATTTTTGTCACAGTTGGCGTAAGACTTTAAGTCGTAGGGCACCAGAACTCCTAAATCTTTTTCGACTCGGGATACTACTAGAGAGGAGTTTCCTAAGTTGTAACTGTAATCTGCGACGTGTCGCAGATGGACTACTTTACACTTTGAAGTGTTAAAGGTAAGTCCGTTATCATCTGCCCAACTTTGAAGTCGAGTCAGATCCTCCTGAAGTGCCTGTATGTCCTCTTGGTTGCGTATCTCTCTCCAAAGTTTCACGTCATCGGCAAAGAGCAGTATGTCTGACGTTACCTGTTGAGGAAGATCATTTATATAAATCAGGAAGAGGAGAGGTCCTAGTACTGAGCCCTGGGAGACCCCACTAGAACATTCCATAGCGCGTGAGAAATTAAAGTTTACCCTGACCTTAAAATCAGTTTCAGTTTCAGTTTCAGTTTGGAAAGGACAGGAGGCTTGATGGCCTGTGTTAGTCCTGGCAATTGTGTTCTCTCAGTTGATCCAACTTTCTTTTGAAAGAATCTACGGATGGAGCTTCAACCACGTGTTGAGGTAATGATGATTCGGTGGGAAAGTCGATAATCAGCTGACAAGTAATTCGTTCTGGGCTTGTGAACTTTTTTGGAGTGTCCTCGTAAATTCTCTGTTTTGGAAGACAGGAAGAATGAGGGCATATCAGGTGCAAATTTATCACTAAGCAATTTGAAAACTGTAATCAAGTCGCCTCTAGTTCTACGATATGACAAAGGGAATAGGTTTAGCTTGGTCAGTCGAGCATCATACGGAAGCTTCGCTATTACGGGAATCAGCTTAGTTGCTGTTCTCTGGACCTTTTCTAAAAGCTCACTGTCTTTTTTTAAGCAGGGGCTAGCCGCTTGTATGCAGTACTCAAGTTTGGGACGCACGAACACTGTATACAAAGTCAAAAATATTTTAGCGTCGACATGAATAAAAGCCCTTTATATTGACCATAAAGTTCTAAAAGCTTTGGCGGCTGTTGCACGGCAGTGTGCAGTAGTCTTCAGATCTTGGGTAACGATGACTCCTAAGTCATTATGTGTCTGGACAGCAGGTAGCTCAGTGTTATTCATCGTGTATGTTACTGAACCTTGATGATCGATATGCATCACAACACACTTGGAAGTATTTATCGGCAGCTGCCATGTATCAGACCATTCGGATAATTTCTTCAGGTCATTTTGGAGTTCTAAGCTATCACCATTACATCGTATCGTTCTCCATATCTTGACATCGTCAGCATATAGCAAGACCGATGATGATAGTAAGCGAGGAAGGTCATTTACATACAAGAGGAATAGCACTGGCCCCAAAACTGTACCCTGGGGCACTCCACTAAGCACAGTTTCCCAGCTAGATAATTTTGAGTTTACCCGTACTCTTTGTTGGCGCCCAACAAGGAAGTCTTCTATCCACGTCAATAGATTGCCTCCAATTCCGACATTTTTTAGCTTATATAACAGCCGGTTGTGCGGAACCTTGTCAAAAGCTTTGCTGAAATCAATGTAAGCCACGTCTACAGGTAACTTTTGGTCCTTAGAAGCGCACCAGCTTTCTCGAGTGACTAATAAGTTAGTGAGACAAGAATAACCTATTCTGAAACCGTGCTGTTTCTCCGAGAGGATTCGGTTTACATCAAGGTATTTAAACAGCTCTTTCCGAATAATCTTTTCTAAGATTTTTACAACCACACTAGTTAGGCTAACGGGTCGGTAGTTCTCAGGTTTATGTTTCGTACCTGTTTTGAAGACAGGACTTACTATGGCGTTCTTCCAGTCTTTTGGTAAACGACCCTGCGTGACGGATAGCTTAAAGCATATACTTAAAGGGTTCGCAACGAAGTTAGATAACTCCTTTAGTAGCCTAGGATGCAATTCATCGGGCCCCACGGATTTACCTATGTCAAGCTCATTTAGCAGATCAAAGACATCGAGTTCATTAATGGTCACGCTATCCAGTGTATGTGTAGGGGGGTTTGTATGCGCTGACGGGAAGGGTGCTTCTATGGTATATACGTTGCTAAAGTAGTTTGAGAACACTTGAGCCTTACCAAAGTCATCTTCCACTAATGATGTAGCAGTACTGTCTCCCCATAGTGCAGGGATAATTCCTCTTCTTTTTGCCCTTTGGTTTATATAGGAATACAGGCGTTTAGGACATTCTATGGTCTATTGTCCAATCTACTAGTGATGCCGAGTGCATGATATCTGGTATGCTTGCTTTCCAGACGTTAGGTCGAATAGTCTACTGATTCTCGTCAAGGCCAAGAGCAATCACGGTGCATTGGTTGGTGGCAGACCATAGACTGGTTAATGTGGCAATGGTTGCACTCTGTTTTCAAATATATTCTAGTCAGCACATTTCTTCACGGTAAGTGAAAACTACTTGAGGGTAATCAATATTAAGTATTGACCTCGAGGCGAGACCTTGACGTAAACTAGCAGGTAGTACTATACACGTCCAACCCGAGCAGACCCTGATCACCCAGGTCACTTACATTGGTAATCTAAAAGAGTGTATAAACAAATTGATTTCTCAGACCTGGCTTCTTGATGTATCGATACAGTTCCAGGAGTTTGGTAATGTCAGATGAAGGGGTGATCTAGCCACATGATTGCACTAGTTCTAGTCAGTTTGATAGATATTTTTGGGTTTGTATATCTTCCAATCTGAGTAAGTTCTCCAGGCACCAGTGGTTAACACATCACACGACAGAAGTTCAGTCGGTCGCAACGTGCAGAATAATAAAGTGAGAATTCGAATGTCAAAGTAAGATATCGGTTTCAAGAACCAAATAGATAAATTAGTTAGTTTATTAATAATAACAACAGCTTGTGAATTGTGAGGTGTGCTGCAGACATGACTAGTCTAAGAGGGAACTGACAATCCACGAGTGAATATTTGTTATCAAGTTCCCTCTTGAAGCCATCCACTGAAGGGCCTGAGATCACTTCAGTTGTGTTCATCAAGTTCTATTTGTTTTCATTTGAACTAGTCCATGAACATTTAGAGAGCATATCAATTCGAATACTGATAATTATCATGTTGGCTTCCCAATGAAACATGTGAATGAACAACTGGATGTACATTGAAATCATGATACCTTCGAAGAATAAATGGAAAGGTTTGGAATCTGGAATAGGACGAGGAAAGATGTTGAACATGATGGAATTGTGACTCATTGACTTACTTTCATCGAAAATGATGTTTGCAGTTTACCGAAAGATTCGGCATTTCCAGACAAGTCTATTTCACTCGACCAATTGCAAGAATTAACGTGCCAAATGTGGAAAAGGCGCTCATATAAATGCTGAGATGCTCTTTCCTTGATGTTCGAAGTGTATGTATTAATTACGAGGTATTGCACAAAACTGACTTCCAAGACATTACATAACTTGATTGTCCTAATGCATTTCACAGTCAAGGTCACACGTCTTGGAGTTTAATTAACGGCAATTCCCGTTTTCATGGAAGCATGTGAAATGACTCACTGGAGAATTACAAAGCAGTGAGAAAGTTGAGCACAAGTTTGACGAGTGTTTATCGTATGGTAAATTTCATTCAAGCAATTGATGTTCATTCCTTCGTGTTAGATGCCTCAAGTGTGCTATGATCAGATAAATCGAGTCACTTTGTGGAACTACTCTACATTCAATCACCAGTGTTAATGAGCCATTTGGTTCAGATTTATCAAGTTGGGTGATTCTAACGACCATTTCATAATAATAATAATAATTTATTCTCAAATAAAAATTTTTTACATGAGGCATGCCAGTTTACAGGCAAGATCAAATTATTACAAATGATACAATTTCCAACTGTAGTAAATTACTCAACTGGGTCGATAATTTATAAGATATGAATGTAGAATGGTTGTAGACAGTATTACAGTTAGCGCGCTTCATGAAAGTTGCGTTGCGACGTGCAACTGAGGGTCGATGATAGATTCATGTGCAGTTGGGGGCTTCT